AAGCTCCGTCCAGGTACTGTCCCAGCGCCATGGTGACCGGGGGGGTGAGCGTGCTGGTGGTGGTCTTCCGAGGGGTATGGTGACGCGGGGTGGTTCCTCTCCGCGTTCGGTGCGCATCTCTTGTTCTGCTTCCTCCAGTTCTTCTTGGGTGAGATCTGCTTCGGCTGTTTCTTCCGTACCCCAGCCTCCTATGGTAGCCATGCCACAGCCGCTGGATCCCCATGCTCCGGTGGCTGATGCCCATGTGGCGCCTTCCCCGGGTTGATAGTCATCGTCTCCCCATCCACCTCGTCGTGCAGACTCCTCGCTCCAGCCTGCTGCGATGCGCTCTTCGTACAGTTTTTGTTTCTTCTCTGCCCTGACCTTATCTTGTTCCTCTTTGACGCTTAACTCCTCTGCCTCATCAGGGTCTTTCCAGGCTGGGTCAATTTCGCGGCGATAAACTTCGCGGGTGTACGGGCGCGGGCGTCCTTCCTCGTCTATGGTGGTGGCGTTGGCCTCGAGGATGAATCGGAGAGTTTCGGAACGTGGTGTGGGCCGCGGATCAGGCAGGTGACCGAACTGCTTGTTTTCTTCTCCGAAGATGCGGTAAGTTGATACCGCGAGTTCTTCTTCGGTCATGCCAGTTGGTTCTTCCTCGGCGCTTTCTGCCTCCTGGATCGCCGCGTATTCCTTCTCCACTTGTTCCGTGCGGCTTGCAGCGGGTGTATGGCAGGTGGTGCAGAGCCCGTTGATGTCGGGGTTGTGCAGATTGATTTCGCGCGGATGTGGGCTGCGGCGAATCCACGGTCGCCCGTCAGGATGTTGCCACGATTCTTCGTTCATGAAGGCGAATTCGAGGGGGACCAGGTCCACGAGCTCATCCGACGAGGCTTCACAGCTTGGTACGTCGAAGTCCAGAACGTAGATCCCGTTGATTGAGCGGGCTCGACCGAGGTATTTAAACGACTCGGGAGGTGTGTCCGGAGGGGCGTACGTGAGGATGAGATCGCGTGTGGCCAGGTCGGTGGTGAGTATGACGCCGCAGTCCCGAAGTTGTCCTGCCGAGAGTAGATTAAAGCGTAGGTCTGGGACGTAGAGTACGTCGTTGAACGAGATGTGAGTGTTGCTGTCTCGTGCTTGCAGAACGACAATGCCTTGGGAGTTGGCGCGCAGTTGGTGGCTATTAGCAACGGTGACGAAGGTTGCGGGGGCTCGGTTGAGGTTTGACACGTAGCGAGTCGACCCCACCATGTGTTGTCCGCAGCAGCTGTCCAGGTACCAGGTGTTGTAGTTGTCTTTGTTGTTGTTGTTGCGGAGTAGTAACGCGAGTCGCGGGGTCACCAGCGTCGCCTTGTAACGGCTGTGAAGCAGCGGGTCTTCATCTTCCTTCCATCCGACAGGTACGTAGAGTTGATTGTCGTGAGGCGGGCTTTCCCGCAGTGTGATTGGCTGATTCCAATCTTGCTCGTCTTCGTCGTGCAGGTAGTAGTGATCTTCTGTGAGGGGGTTATTCCACCCTTCCTCTGATTGCGGCAGTACTCCCTGAAGTTCTTCTTCTTCGTCAGGTTCGGCAGTGCGGCGGCGTCGCGTCGCCATGTTTGCGATTACGTTTCTGGGAGCTCCTCCTTGAGATCCTTGTGACTGCTGTGGTTGTTGTTGTTGTGCAGGAGGACGGGAGACTGGTTGTTGGGGCTGAGAGTGACGAGCGTCTTGTCGGCTGACCCAGTTGTTGTGGTGAGTGGAATTCGGGTGCCGATAGTTGGATCGGGATTTGCATCGATCCGTTAAATGCCCGAAGGTTTTGCAAATTTTGCAGTAATGGCGCCTTGGTTGTCGTCGCTCTTCACGGTTGTCTGTGTAGAAGGCGAGTCGCTCTCGGCGTGGCGCGGAACTCGTTCTGCTCGAGTCCATGTCCTGCTGTTCAGTCAGCAGTGCGGCGCATAGCGCGGCTTCGGAAAGTTGTCCTCGTTGTCGGAGTAGTGCCTTGCAGGGCTTCCACTCGGGCCCAAGTCCCTGGAGGATGATGTTTACGAATATCTCCTCCGAGATCGAACTTCCGTTCTTGATGATTTGATCACGGATGTTCCGACAACGGTTGATGTAACTGTTTGCTTTCTCCCCGTGCCCCATCTTCGTCTCCATGAGTTGTTGCAGGAGGCGGCTTGCAGTGACGGAATCCTTCGGCTGATATACCTCCACGAGGTGCTTCCAAGCTTCAAGAGCCGGAGCGGCGCTCTCTTTATAGGAGCGGATGCCGAGCTGTTCTGCCGGCGACATGTTGCGCAGCAGAACGCTATACGCCATGAGCGACTCACTGTAGTATTGAGCGCGGGCGTCTTCGGTGTCTTCCACCGGTTTAGGATAGGAGCCGTCGAAGTAGTGGTAGATCTGCGCTGTCTGTAGGAGGAGCTCAAGCTCAAAACTCCATGTATAAAAATCCTTGCCGTCAAACGCGGCAGTAGTCTTGATCTTTGACACACTGAGAAAGCGTGCTTGCGCAGAGTTGATGGTTTCGTCGCTTGGACGAGGGGCAGTTGTTGCAGATTTGTCTGAGTCGAGGGAGAAGCCGTGCGCGGCGGTATCGCGGCTTTTCGCAGCCGGTTGTCCAGGTTGAACTGGTTGGGAAGTGGTTCCCGCATCGCCTTTGCGCAGATCTTGGAGTTCTTTCTCCATTGTTGACAGTCGAGCGAATAACTGCTCGAGCGCGGCAGTGCCAATCGTAGTTGTCGCCTCATTTGTCGCAGCCGGGTTGGTTTGTCCTTCGGCCGTTAGATTTGTTTGACCTCCGGATCCTCCGGCCATCTTGGTCTTGGAACGTGTGCCGCTCGCCAGTTTTGGTTTGGCGAATTTTACGGAGTTGACGTTGCGAAGAATCCCTGAGCAGCTCTCATACCATGTTACAATCTGAAGTGAGATTTGTCCGAAAGGATCGTTCAGGGTTGATCGCAGGTAGTGTCGCAGCGGAAGTAGTGAACTCAGGTCAGAGTGAATGTAAATGACTGAGATTGATAATAGCATGCATACATTGGGTTTATATAGAAATACAAAGGAATGCGAAACGACCTAGACTAGCCATGTACTCTAAGGGGTACATTCCCTTATTGCAGCGAAATTTAAACCGTGCGGCGCGGGAATCGGTTTCAAACCTGTTCCCGCTCTTTTCACTTCAAATGCTCCTGCCTGCATCGGCCTTAGTCAGACGGTTGCTGTGTCGCTTCGACTCTTCTGACTCCTCGACTTCGTACTCGGTAGAGTCAGCTCCTGCAGCATACAGGAATGCCTTCTCATAAAGCTTCATATCGTAACATAGTCAGGACATCAGGGTGATTTACACTGTTAAAATAGGCCCTGGTGCGCACACACTAAAAGCACCTCAAATCACAGTTCCTAAACTTAAACTCTTTCACAACTATAATCAGAGGTGTTGCTGATCATGTAGGAAAATAGCACAGAAAATGAATCTCTAGTTTGTTATCGGAGTGCCTTGGCTCGGGTCAAACCAGGCTGTGTGGTTCTGGGGTGCTGTGCCCATCCCTCGCCACATCACCCATCTCGTCTCATCCTTACAAAGCTGCCGTGTTGCTTCCTCGCCTTGCGATCTATCCCCGCTCCGTGCGCGCCTACCACCTCGCACCGCCAAGCACCCACCAAGCGCGCAGCACGACGCGCGCGGCTGCGTCATGGGCACGCTGCTCGTTTCGTCGCCCTTTCCGCGAGCCTCGCTCGGCCCATCATCGGCGCACACATCGCTGCGCTCCTCGCATGCCGGCCGCCCGCTCCTAGCCGCCCCCAGGTACGGCCTCGCTGGCGAGCCCCGCCAAGCGGCCGCTGGGTTCCGTTTGCGGCCGCTGGCCGCCAGCTGCTGCGACGCTCCCGCATACTCCGAACGTCGTGCGCGCCTCGCTCGCGTTCGCGGGCTCTCCTCGTCGCTCGCCGCTTCTTCCAACACGCTGCCTGCTCCCAATCCGATTGCTGCCGACAGCAATTAGCGCTTATATCGCGGACGAGGAAGTGCGTGGCGATTGAACAGCTGACATCGCGGTGGCGCGACGGGCTTATTGAGGCGACGATGCCAGCGAGCAGATTGCTGGTCGCACATGCTGGTTGCACATGCTGGTCGCACATGCTGGTCGCACATGCTGGTTGCACATGCTGGTCGCACATGCTGGTCGCACATGCTGGTCGCAGATGCTGGTCGCACATGCTGGTCGCAATGCTGGTCGCAATGCTGGTCGCACATGCTGGTCGCACATGCTGGTCGCACATGCTGGTCGCAGATGCTGGTCGCACATGCTGGTCGCAATGCTGGTCGCAATGCTGGTCGCACATGCTGGTCGCACATGCTGGTCGCAATGCTGGTCGCAATGCTGGTCGCACATGCTGGTCGCACATGCTGGTCGCACATGCTGGTCGTACATGCTCGCGCGGAGCACTGACAGCGATGGGCATCGCACAGACGGGCTCCGAGGTCCCTTCGCCTCCCGCCCACTCAACCCCCAACCCCCCCTCCCCTTCCCACCCTCTTTCCACCCTCTTTCCACCCCGCCCTCTCACCACGCCTCTCCCAGGCGTCTGTCGCTGCAGCGGGGGGCGGCCGTCAGCAGCAGGGGGGGGAGGGGCGCAGTGCGGGTAGCGGCGGAGGTGGGGGAGGCGGAAATGGAGAAGGGGAGAGCCGCCATGCGCCAGTGGTGAGTGCGGGAGAGGTGGTGGGTGGTGTTGAGCTGTCGCTCTCCTTCCCCGCGTGCCTCGTACCTCTCACTCACTCCTCCACCGCTCATCTACCTGCCTTCACACCCGCCCCTCCGCCCCTGCCACGCCTCTCGCCATCCCCGCTCTCTCCTCCTGCACTCGTCAACACGCCGCCCAGCCCACATCACCTCCCGCCCTTCACCTGCACGCCACCCTGCCATGCGCGCACACGCATCTGCCGGTGCCCCACCCCCCAACCTCCCCCTATCTTTCCCCCTTGCTCCCCCTAACCCTGTCCCCCGCATGCTGGCCCTCCGCGCGTGGGGCAGGTGGCAGGCGCAGCTGGCGGCCAAGGCAGGGCAGCGGGGTGGCCAGGGGGCGGTGGCAGTGTCGGAGGCGGAAGGGGAAGGGGAGGGGGAGGGGGCGCAGGCAAGCATGGATGCTGCGCGCGCTGAGATGAGGGCGTGGTGAGCTGAGCGCACTCGTGGGGGAGGGGGGAGCGCACTCGTGGGGGAGGGGTGAGCGCACTCATGGGGGAGGGGAGGGATGACCTGACACGGGTCGAGGTTTGCCGCGCTCACCGCAGGGGTGGCGGGGCGGGCGCAGAGTGTTCCACAACTGGCTGGGGGGGCCGAGATTCCCATCGCAATGCCCCCTCCCACCCACCCTTAAGTTGGGCCGCCTTCACTTGCTATCATATTTACTGGAACTCTGTCTGGGCACTTGATGCCAAATACTCCACCCCAGAATTTGATAGGAAGAGCTCTTAGGCCGGTTTTCTTATGTCCTTTTTGGCAACGCTTGGTGGAATTGGCCGGGGAAGTTGAAGCCGCCAGTTCTTCCTGACAAGTACCCCTTTCCCCTCTTTGGTCTTCATCCCATCGTAATTCCCCAACCCAGCCTTCCATGATATCTCGCTACCTGCCCCTCACCTTATTAGAGCGCACGTTTCCTCATGCCACATTTCTCCCACCAATGTTTCCCAACCAAGTCTGGGTCCTGGGACACTTTTCACCCGCCCAGGGGATATCTCGTGCTTCCTCAGTGCCAGTTGGGTTTGTTGTGTTTGTAGCGGTGGCACAAAACACGAACGTCAAAAAGCTGCGCCTATCAAATGTCGCTGCTCTCTTTCCCTCCCCTTCCGACTTGCGCCACCCTCCCCCCATGCCCCTCCGCCCGCCCGTGTGACTGCCGCCTCTCATTGGGTGTTGTTGCGCGTGTGCTTCCCACTGGGGCACCAGGTGGAGCGCCCAGCAGGCAGGCAAGGCCGAGCAGGCTGGCATGGATGCTGCCCGCGCTCAGATGAGGGCATGGTGAGCCGGGGGGCGAGGGGAAGGCGGCCAAGGAAAATCAGGGCAGGAAGGGGGGAGAGAGGAGAGGAGGGAGGGAGGGAGGGAGGGAGGGAGGGAGGGAGGGAGGGAGGGAGGGAGGGAGGGAGGGAGGGAGGGAGGGAGGAAGGAAGGGAGGTAGAAGAGAAGGAGGGAGAGAAGGAGGGACAGCAGTTCGAGTGCCTGGCAGGTTGCCAGTCAGTGCTGCTGCCTGCCAGTCAGTGCTGCTGCCTGCCAGTCAGTGCTGCCTGCCTGCCAGTCAGTGCCGCTGCCTGCCAGTCAGTGCTGCCTGCCTGCCAGTCAGTGCTGCTGCCTGCCAGTCAGTGCTGCCTGCCTGCCAGTCAGTGCTGCTGCCTGCCAGTCAGTGCTGCTGCCTGCCAGTCAGTGCTGCCTGCCTGCCAGTCAGTGCTGCTGCCTGACAGTCAGTGCTGCCTGCCTGCCAGTCAGTGCTGCCTGCCTGCCAGTCAGTGCTGCTGCCTGCCAGTCAGTGCTGCCTGCCTGCCAGTCAGTGCTGCTGCCTGCCAGTCAGTGCTGCCTGCCTGCCAGTCAGTGCTGCTGCCTGCCAGTCAGTGCTGCCTGCCTGCCAGTCAGTGCTGCCTGCCTGCCAGTCAGTGCTGCCTGCCTGCCAGTCAGTGCTGCCTGCCTGCCAGTCAGTGCTGCCTGCCTGCCAGTCAGTGCTGCCTGCCTGCCAGTCAGTGCTGCTGCCTGCCAGTCAGTGCTGCCTGCCTGCCAGTCAGTGCTGCCTGCCTGCCAGTCAGTGCTGCTGCCTGCCAGTCAGTGCTGCTGCCTGCCAGTCAGTGCTGCCTGCCTGCCAGTCAGTGCTGCTGCCTGCCAGTCAGTGCTGCCTGCCTGCCAGGCGCTGTGCTTGTCTCTGACTGCACTGGACGTCGCTGCCCAATGCATCCGGCACATCGTAATGCAGCCCCTGCGCGTGCCCTCCCTACCTCCGCCAGGTGGGTGCAGCAGCAGCAGGGCAAGGCCATGGACGTGGCGCGTGCAGCCATGAGGCGCTGGTGAGAGCCACAGGCAGGGTGAGGTGAGAGGAGGAAGGTGGGAGCAGGCAGGGAAAGGTGGTGGTGGGGTGGGCACACTCGCTCTCCATATGGACATTCAAGGCCCTCTTCACATTAGATTCTTTTTAGAGCCCGTCAAAAATACAGTAGCAAATGTTTGGGGACGATTTGGCTAGCTGGGCGGCTGTAAATTCTTGTAGAAAACAATAATCGTACTGATCGGTAGACGATTAAGTGTTTCTGCATGCCATTGTTGGTAAGCTTTATTGCTTCATGCCGTTCGCGGTGCGGATTCAATAAGAGGTTATCGCGAGACATGAGCAACAGGTTTGTTCCGACCTGTCCCGACCCAGGCTGACCCGACCCGAGTCAGGTACGGTGTCAGGTCGGGCTGCTAACCTGGCTTTGGGTGAGGACACCGGGTAAGCCAACTTGACCCGGGCTTATAGGGGCCGAGATGGCTGTGACCAACGTAACTGCCTGCCACGACAGGGCCTGTCAAGACTGCCTTTGAGCTTCTGGCAGGCAGGTGGGCCATCCTCAGGTGTAGAAGGCGTGTCTCTGAAAGTCGAAACACAATCCATGTGCTATACACTAGGGATTTCGCATGAGCTTTGCTGATTCCGCAATGCGGGCGGCATCGAGCCAAGCAAGCGTTCACAGAACAGAAGAAGCGCGTCGCGGTACGTCACGATCTCGGCGTTCCTTTCTTACAGTCACAGGTTAACCGTTAAACCCACCCTGCCCCTCTCAAGCACATTCTCTCCTTGCATCATTCTTCCACCTCCCTCTGTGGGCCAGGTGGATGGAGCAGCAGCAGGGCAAGGCCATGGATGCAGCGCGTGCGGAGATGAGGCAATGGTGAGTATGAGCTGCGCCACACGGACGGTGCTGGCTGCTCGCCCCACTGGGCCTCATGAGGTCTCTCCGTTGCATCTGCTCTCCATGCTTGCTGCCATTGCTCTCCATGCATGCTGTCATTGCTCTCCATGCATGCTGTCATTGCTCTCCATGCATGCTGTCATTGCTCTCCATGCATGCTGCCATTGCTCTCCATGCATGCTGTCATTGCTCTCCATGCATGCTGTCATTGCTCTCCATGCATGCTGTCATTGCTCTCCATGCATGCTGCCATTGCTCTCCATGCATGCTGTCATTGCTCTCCATGCATGCTGCCATTGCTCTCCATGCATGCTGTCATTGCTCTCCATGCATGCTGCCATTGCTCTCCATGCATGCTGTCATTGCTCTTCATGCATGCTGTCATTGCTTGCGCATTCATCGCACATCTGTTTTCACGCATTCCTTAAGCATGTGATGTGTATGTGTGTAAAACCTACATTCTCATGGTGGCCATGTATACATGCATTATGTTACATATTTGCATGTGTTTTGTCAGTTGTACACTTGCCCCACTTTCCTCTGCTGGCCCTCTTTTCTCTCCTGCCACTCTTGTCCTCCCAGGTGGGTGCAGCAGCAGCAGGGCAAGGCCATGGATGCAGCGCGCGCAGAGATGAGGCAATGGTGAGAGCCACAGGGGCGTGCAGGGGTTGGGGGTGGGCAGGGAAGCCAGCCTGCAGGTGTGGGCGCAAGGAGGGCGCCTGCCCTCCCTCTCTGCTGCGCTTGCGGCTGTTGCTTGTTTGTTGAACCACCTCACCACCTTTCAAACCTTAAACCCTGGCTGAAACTAATTTGGGCCGAACCGATACAGGTTGACTTTTGCTCTTTATAGATGAAGTTGTAGGTCGAGTGTTTGCACTTAATGATTTTCGTGTCGTCCCTTGCTCCTTGCACCCGGGCGGGATGGTGGCAGGTGGGTGCAGCAGCAGCAGGCCAAGGTGGAGGCAGCAGCTGCGGCGAGCATGGAGCAGGGCAGAGCGCAAATGAGGGCGTGGTGAGTGCACGGGGGTGGATAGTACGTGCACTGGGGTGGATAGTACGTGCACGGGGGTGGATAGTACGTGCACTGGGGTGGATAGTACGTGCACTGGGGTGGATAGTACGTGCACTGGGGTGGATAGTACGTGCACTGGGGTGGATAGTACGTGCACTGGGGTGGATAGTACGTGCACTGGGGTGGATAGTACGTGCACTGGGGTGGATAGTACGTGCACGGGGGTGGATAGTACGTGCACTGGGGTGGATAGTACGTGCACGGGGGTGGATAGTACGTGCACTGGTGTGGATAGTACGTGCACTGGGGTGGATAGTACGTGCACTGGGGTGGATAGTACGTGCACTGGGGTGGATAGTACGTGCACTGGGGTGGATAGTACGTGCACTGGGGTGGATAGTACGTGCACTGGGGTGGATAGTACGTGCACTGGGGTGGATAGTACGTGCACTGGGGTGGATAGTACGTGCACTGGGGTGGATAGTACGTGCACTGGGGTGGATAGTACGTGCACTGGGGTGGATAGTACGTGCACTGGGGTGGATAGTACGTGCACTGGGGTGGATAGTACGTGCACTGGGGTGGATAGTACGTGCACTGGGGTGGATAGTACGTGCACGGGGGTGGATAGTACGTGCACTGGGGTGGATAGTACGTGCACTGGGGTGGATAGTACGTGCACTGGGGTGGATAGTACGTGCACTGGGGTGGATAGTACGTGCACTGGGGTGGATAGTACGTGCACTGGGGTGGATAGTACGTGCACTGGGGTGGATAGTACGTGCACTGGGGTGGATAGTACGTGCGCTGGGGTGGATAGTACGTGCACTGGGGTGGATAGTACGTGCACTGGGGTGGATAGTACGTGCACTGGGGTGGATAGTACGTGCACTGGGGTGGATAGTACGTGCACTGGGGTGGATAGTACGTGCACTGGGGTGGATAGTACGTGCACTGGGGTGGATAGTACGTGCACTGGGGTGGATAGTACGTGCACTGGGGTGGATAGTACGTGCACTGGGGTGGATAGTACGTGCACTGGGGTGGATAGTACGTGCACTGGGGTGGATAGTACGTGCACTGGGGTGGATAGTACGTGCACTGGGGTGGATAGTACGTGCACTGGGGTGGATAGTACGTGCACTGGGGTGGATAGTACGTGCACTGGGGTGGATAGTACGTGCACTGGGGTGGATAGTACGTGCACTGGGGTGGATAGTACGTGCACTGGGGTGGATAGTACGTGCACTGGGGTGGATAGTACGTGCACTGGGGTGGATAGTACGTGCACTGGGGTGGATAGTACGTGCACTGGGGTGGATAGTACGTGCACTGGGGTGGATAGTACGTGCACTGGGGTGGATAGTACGTGCACTGGGGTGGATAGTACGTGCACTGGGGTGGATAGTACGTGCACTGGGGTGGATAGTACGTGCACTGGGGTGGATAGTACGTGCACTGGGGTGGATAGTACGTGCACTGGGGTGGATAGTACGTGCACTGGGGTTAGGGTTGAGCACGGGCCGGGCCGGGCCCGGCCCGGGTCGGGCCAGGCCGGACCCATGAAAAAACCGGGCCGGGCCTGGCCCGGCCCGACCCGGGCCGAATGAGCAAGACTCTGGCCCGGGCCCGCCCATTTTGTACTCGGGCCCGGGTGGCCCGACCCAGGCTGTGCAAGGCCCGACCCGGGCCGGGCCCGGCCCGGCCCGGGTGCACTTTTGTTTTAGGTAAATGGTGTTTTGGACCTGTTTTAGAGGGGCAAACAAGTCTAGGGCCCGGCCCGGGCCGGCCCGGCCCGGCCCGCCCGGAAATGGCCGGTCCAAAAGCGGGCCGCCCCCAGCCCGGCGGGCCGGGCCTGCCCGGCCCGCCCCGGGCCGACAGCCAAATTTTGAGGCCCGGCCCGGAGCATTTCCGGGCCGGCCCGACCCGGGCCGGGCCCAGCCCGTTTTTTTGCTCATCCCTAACTGGGGTGGATAGTACGTGCACTGGGGTGGATAGTACGTGCACTGGGGTGGATAGTACGTGCACTGGGGTGGATAGTACGTGCACTGGGGTGGGTGCTGGGTGGTGCACGGACGTGGCTGCAGGGAGGCTCATGTGTGTGCTGCCTATTGCTGGTCTGCCGTGGGTCAGGCGGATTTCAGTTCACCTCCCTACCCATGCCCCGTGCCTGCCGAACCCATGATTCTGGACGGCGGCCCTGGGTGGGCGTAAAAAAATGAGCTAATCGTGACAGCGAGTTCGGTTCACTGTGCTCGCTCACTCAACTTGCTTCCTTCGCCTGCGGAATGAAACACTAGGAGCACCTTGTTTCGCCCTTCCCTCTCATTCCTTGCCCTCCCAGGTGGGTGCAGCAGCAGCAGGGCAAGGCCATGGATGCAGCGCGAGCAGAGATGAGGCAATGGTGAGAGGCATGGCATATAGACGCGGGTGGAAGCATGGCATACATGGCATGACCCGGGCCCCCAAGGTGTGGTGAGTGGGGCGGACTCGAGGGGAAGGAGAATGGCATGGCACAGTTTGTTGGTAATTCAACACAGCAGAGAGAAAGAAGCCAGGAAACTAAGGCAAAGGTATGCTGAAATATACCTCAGCAGAAGCATGCACACACACACACACACACACACACACGCACGCACGCACACACACACACACACACACACACACACACACACCCACGCACGCACGCACGCACGCACGCACCCACCCACGCACGCACGCACGCACGCACGCACCCACGCACGCACCCACCCACCCACGCACGCACGCACGCACGCACGCACGCACGCACGCACGCACGCACGCACGCACACACACACACACACACGAGAAGATCGTCGATTTATCCACCCTGCTTGAAACAGGGTGTTCTCTTAAACCCCGTCTAAGTTATGCCGTGTTTTTTTACTTTACTACTGCCAACAGTTCCATGTAGTCTGCGCACCAAGTTCAGCCTGGAGTGAGCTGTCCTCCAAACATTAGCTTCCACGTTTTCCACGTTCCTTGCATTTAGCTGCTCTCCAACAGTCTGTGGTGCCTTTGGAATGGAACAGAGAGGAACATCTTGTTCCAACCACCTGATTCAAACCATTCCTCCCTTCCATGCCACTCCTGCCCTCCCAGGTGGCTGCAGCAGCAGCAGGGCAAGGCCCTGGATGCAGCGCACGCAGAGATGAGGCAATGGTGAGAGCCATGGGGGAGGCACACGAATTTAAATGGCGTGTATTTCTTGAAAAATAAATCATAGCTAACAAAAACACTTGAACAGACACATCAGGTGGTCCGCTTTCCAGCCAAGGCGACCTGGGTTCGGCTCGGTCAATCCGCGATCCGTTGTGCTTTCTCTTTTCTTTTTGAGGAACAAGGCATGTTGTGGTAGTCATGGCTGGAGCACGTTTCATCTCTTGCATGGCATGACTTGCTCCATACACACTCACAGCTCTGGCCTGCATCTAACACTGGCGCTTGGGTGCTTGGGTGTGTGGGTGGTTGTGTGGTTGAGTGCGTGGGTGCATGCAGGTGGATGGCGCAGGTGGCGGGGAAGAGGGCGGCGGTGGCGGAGCAGCTTCTGGCGGAGCAGGATGAGTCGCGCTCCCAGCTCAATGCATGGTGGGTGCCATGCCATGGGTGGGTGCCATGCCATGGGTGGGTGCCATGCCATGGGTGGGTGCCATGCCATGGGTGGGTGCCATGCCATGGGTGGCTGCCATGCCATGGGTGTGTGCCATGCCATGGGTGGGTGGGCACATATGCTTTGCCTTGTCGCACTCATAACACCTTAGACCACCATACCATGCAACACCATACCAACCATGTACCATCATGCACGACTATGCACCTCCATGCACCACAATTCCAATGCATGCACCATCATTCCATGCACCACCATACCGTGCACCACCATACCATGCACCACCAAAAATGTCGAGTGCACCGCTCCCCTTGGTTGCTGTGCGTGTGGTGGGGGGTGCAGGGCGGTGGGCAAGTGGAGGGCGGTGCTGGGGGAGGCGGAGCAGCAGGCGGAGGAGGCGAGGCAGGAGGCCATGGAGGCTGCCAGGGCGGAGATGCGCCAGTGGTGAGTGCCATCGCCGCGGGTACACTCATTGCACTAGCCCTTGTACCTCAGCGCTCTCCAAGTACAACCGAAACGGCAAGGAAAACGATGGGTAGGGGTTCGGGAACAATCCCCAATAAATTCGAATGAAATCTCCAATTTGTGGGTTGGAGGTTTCAGTTGATCAGTTTTGAATAAGTTTGGAATGTTGGTGTAACAGCCAACCTACAAAAACCACGGCTACACGGATATAGTTAGTACAAATACCCAAGTTATGACAAAAGGCTAACTCCAACTGTGATTGTAAGCAGTGGTGAGTGTCATGCCATACCTTGCTCGCAGTTGCCATCTCTCCTTCCCACCTCCATTCTTCATTCCCTGTGTGCTCTCCATGTCAACATGTGCCGCCAGGTGGACGAGTCAGCTGGAGGAGAAGGCGGTGAAGCTGGCAGAGCAGGCAGCGGCGGCGGTGGAGGCGGAGGTAGCCATGTATGTGGCGGCCGCTGCTGACTTTGGTGGCGGGGAGGAGAGCGACCTCAGCGACGACGAGCTCATTGCCTCCGATGATGAGGAGCAGATGGTATGGCATGACGTGCAGTGCATGGCATGGCGTGAAACTCTACCTGCACTGCAACGTTCTTCCATTTCTCCTCGTCTCGCCTGTTTCCGTTCCTTCCTTTGCTCCTTCTTCTAACCAATTCCTATATCGCTTCCCGTCTTCCTCTATGTCCCGGGTGCATGGGTGGGTGGCGGGTGCAGGAGGTGGCATCGAGCATGGTGGATCTCAGCCACATGGAGCGGGCGGTCATCGAGCGCGAGATGGCCCGCTACCGTGCCAGGCGCGAGGCCAAGCGCGCCTTCTGGGAGCGCGACGTGCAGCGCTCCATGGACCGCAACCGCAAGGCCATGAGGGAATGGTGAGACATGCGCGATTCGCCAATGGTGAGTCATGCGCGATTCGCCAACGGTGAGGCAGCTCAAGGGGGGTTCTTGTACTTCTTGAAATTCTAGGAAGCTTTATCGTTTCGTTTCCTTAAGTTGCTTAAGCGTTTCTTCAGGTTTGCAGTTATTCCATTTTGAGTTTGGAAGCTCACGGGGACAGGGGAGTCACGTGCCCAGCGATCATTGCTCGTGCTCTTCCCACCCTCGCTCTCCTGCCTCTGCCAAATCTGCCCCCTAGGATGCTCAACCATTTTCTTGCCTCTCTGCCTTCCCTTTCCCCACCCAATACCCCGTGCGCAGGTGGTTGCAGCAGTGGGGGGCGAAGCAGAGGGCCAATGGGTGGGGCGACAACCCGCCCGTGTGGCGCCTCAAGCTCACCGCGGGCAGCGCAGACACGCCAGGTGGCAGCACGGCATTGGAGGACGTGGAGGTGGCGGGCAAGGGCGTGACGCTGGGCCTGCTCCCCCAGCCCGAGGACGGCTCGCGACCCATCGAGCTGCACCTCAAGGGGGTGAGTGGAGGGGCACCTCAAGGGGGTGAGTGGAGGGGCACCTCAAGGGGGTGAGTGGAGGGGCACCTCAAGGGGGTGAGTGGAGGGGCACCTCAAGGGGGTGAGTGGAGGGGCACCTCAAGGGGGTGAGTGGAGGGGCACCTCAAGGGGGTGAGTGGAGGGGCACCTCAAGGGGGTGAGTGGAGGGGCACCTCAAGGGGGTGAGTGGAGGGGCACCTCAAGGGGGTGAGTGGAGGGGCACCTCAAGGGGGTGAGTGGAGGGGCACCTCAAGGGGGTGAGTGGAGGGGCACCTCAAGGGGGTGCGTTGAGTGGTGCAATGGTCACTGTTTGCAAAGAAGTGCAACAGCCCAACACATCTTGCCATTCATTGCCCTCCCATGCACCTCCCACCACCCGTCCCCCATGATGTGCGGCGTGCAGGTGTCGTTCTCGCACGCGGTGGTGTATGGAAAGGACAAGTACATGGGGTTCGGCAGCTACAAGCGCGAGTACTTCATCAGCGACCTGGGCTCCACCACCGGCACCTTCCTCAATGGGTGCGCCCCCTCCCCTCCCCACTCTCATCCCAGGCCCCCCCCTCCCCTCTCGGTCTCTGTCGCCCCTGCTCTGCTCTCCGTTCCCTCTGCCCTGCTCACTGGTCTGCCTTGGCCGCTGCTCTGCTCTGCTGTGGCGTGATGGTGTGCACACACCCACAGCATGCACATGCAATGCTGTTGTCAATGCCGCCACACTTTCCTCGCAACCCCTCTGCCACCTGCTGCCTGTCCCTTGGTGCCGCTGTCCCCTCTGTCCCCCTGTTTTACTGTCTCCCCTGACCCTGCGTTTTCCCGTCCGCACGATCTCCCTCTCTGCGAGCGCAGGAAGCTGCTGGGAGTGAATGCGCCGCGCAAGCTGGCCAATGGTGACGTCATCAAGCTGGGGCCTGAGGTGAGTTGCTGCGTGCGTGTTGTCATCACTGCACCACACCACCATCACACAAGGCTGACATACAGCTCACATGGGGCTCATATGCGGCTCACATGGGGCTGAGCAGAGGATTGCCAGTCATTGCAGCTCAATCGTGCATGTCCTGCATGCTTCTCTTCCCTTGCCTTGCCTCCCATCCCATCCCATCCCATCTCTCCCCGGTCCTCACCGCCCTCAGGTTGAGTTCGTGGTGACTGACCCCTCTCTCTCGCCGTGACCGTGCCTCCCATGCTCTGCCGTGCACTGCACTCCCGTACCAAGGGCTCACCATAGTGACATGAAGAGGGTGCGATGTGATGTGCTTCTGTCTCTACAATTATCCGCTGCTCACTGGTTCGTTGTCGTGTTTCGGTCGTCCTTTGTGCAACTGGTGCCGGTAATTTATCAAATATACGGTAGCAATGTCACCCAATAATATCAATTGATTTAGGTGGAATCAAAAGCGTGCTTCATATGGTATAAACTGCTTGAAAGGAAACCAGGATGTATTTTCATAAAATAAGGACACTAGCACAAAAGCACGGCCATTCAACACATCAAAACTTGCAAGTCAAAACAAATACGGTAGAGCAGGCATCACGGTGGTACCTACCACTCTCCATGGCACAAACATGGAGACAACAACTCGGGTTCTCTCACATGAGGAGCCATGCCTCGCTCACATCACGTCACACTCCACTCCACTTGCATCGACTGCCGAGTACCAAGTGCCACCAAGCGCGGAGGGCTGTCGCGACTCGCACGGCACAGCCTCGTGTGATTCGTGTCGAGCTGCGCACATGCCCGCCGTCATGCGGTGCTTTCCACGCGCGCACACGCACCTGCGAGCACATGGGAGGGAATGAAGTGCGAGGAGCGAGGACGAGAGTGAGGGACGAGAGTGAGGCACGGCGACACCGACGTTGGAGCGACGCACAGCACCAGCACAGGTGTGAATGTGAGCGTGCAAGTCGGAAGAGTGCGCCCATGCACCAGGGCGCCCTCCCCCCATAGCACCCTCTCCTTCGCTTTCCGCCCTGTAAGGACCCTCGGATGGAAAGGCGCTGCGCGCAGCTGATGCCAATCCGACGGTCTTCGTAGAGCGATGAGCGTCTCTCGCATTCTCTCGCAAGCATAGATCCAAATGGTTCGAGATGTGAGGGACGAGTCGCACACCCGATGTGTTGCGAGCCGGGCTGAGAACCGCGAGGCGACGAGGCCCTCACCGCGATCGCCATCAGCTTATGCCCCGCCCCCGTGCCGCCGCCATCCTGCGCACTGCCGACACATGCGCAAAAGAAGCAAGGGAGAAAGGGGGGAAAGGGGGGGTTGGGGTGAGAGGGGGAAGGGATGAAGAAAAATCGCCGGTTAGGGCGGCACGGAGCGACGGGTAGATGAGAGAGTCGGCAGCACAGGAGAAACGCGAGGACGCGAATAGATGTGCGGCGGTGCGGAGAGCGCAGGCGGCGAGAGGCACGCGCGCACTCGAAGGAGCACCGGCGGCGGGATGCGAGGCCCGCGGCGGTCGCTGTGCGCTCTCATGGAACTGACGGCCACCGCGCCCCCGCCGCTCGAGCGCCAGCCGGCGGTTCTTGGGAGAGCGCGGTGAGGCGCGGAAATAGAAATTGCGGAACAAGCAGCGCGGAACGCGGGAAGCTGACAACACGATTGTAAGCGGCAAGGCGAAAGGCGGGAACGGACCGATGTTGGCGCGAGAGAGTGCGATCACTCGAGGCATGCTCCGCGGCAGCATTAGGAGACGCGAGGCACGGACGAGAAGGCAGCGGAGAGTAACTGGGGGGCAAAAGGGTTTCTGGGTGGATGAGATGGGATGGTGGAGCTCCTTCCCCCCAAAACCCAGAACTGCGCAATTTATCGTCTTGGCGACAACCTGCCTTCCGAACTCGAGGCACGCTCCAGAGCCGTGGCTAGTCGTAGTGCAAGCTGGTTGTGAGCAGTGGTGAGCGGTTGAGCGCCGTCCCGAACCAACTAGGACCAAGCCAAGGCGTCCCGTGATACCCTCAAGGATTCCAAAAATCCAACGCTACAGATCCAAAAATATGCCCTTGCGACCCTATCCTCTTTTGAACCTTTCCAATGTGCCTCATAAGGAGATCAAGGTACACACTGCTTTGCTTTGTGGTGCCTACTTTTACATCTTCTCTACAACACTGGTATTCGGTTAGGAACATAACCTCTGCAGGTGGGAATGCAACACTGCATATCAACAATAACGACGAAGCAACTCTGCCCTAGATTTTCCTACTTAGCTCCATAAGGCACCTTGGCACGAGCCGTATAAAACATGTTGGCATCCCAGTGCTCACAGGCGCTCTGGATGCGCAAACGCAGCTCACCTACAAATGCAATTGGCCCACGGCAGTGCGAGTGCCCACTGCCCAGTGGAAGCAACGGCGCCTGGGTGCGTGAAATACCCTCTACATGACATACGCGCGGGGATACAAAGAGGGAATGGGACATGATACGGTAAGCCGATGCAGCAGCAGAGGAGCCACAGCGCTACGACACCGCTGCCACCTTCACATCTGCGCCCACACCAGCCCGCGCCACACCCCCCTCCAACCCCACATGCTGCGACTCTCCCCCTCCCCCACTGCCCCCTGACGGCCGTCGCCTGTGCGCACTGCTCCCCCCGCTGCCCCCGCCGCTGCCGCTGCCGCCTCGCGAGGGCGACACGCCCACCACGCTGCGCTTGGGCCGTGCAGCCCCCCGCGGCGACCCCTCCCGCATGGGCGACCACCGCCGCCGCGGACTGCCCTCCGCCGCCGCCCCTCGCATGCCGCCCGCACCGCTGCCGCTGCCACTGCTGGGGCGCCTGGGGCTGCCACGGCGCGGGCTGAACTCCACGGCGAACGTGGACACGGGCCGCCCCCGCGGACTCACCTCCACCGCCGCCCCCCGACCCCCGCTGCTGCTGCTGCTGCGCACCACCGCTCGGTCCTCCCCTCCGCCCCCTCCGCCACCCCCAACCCCTCCTCTCTCCAAGCTGCTGGCACTGGCCACGGCGTTGAGCGAGTGGCTGTGGCCCTCGCCGCGCGTGGCAGCGAGTGCAGCGGCCACACCGGGAGGCAGCTCGCCGTGGGCGCCCATGAGCATCCACGTCTTCTGATCCACCGCCCTCTTCTCCACACCCGATGGGCCCCCCGCCTTGCGCGTCGACATGCGCATCGGCCCACTACTGCCCCCCCCATGCCCCCCGCTGCTGCTCGGCCGCTGCTGCTCCCGCTCCCTGCCCTTGTCCCTGCCCCTATCCCCGTCCCCTGCGCTCCCCAGCAGCCCGCCCGGCAGGACGCCGGACATGGATGCCGAGGCAAACAGTGCCTCGATCTCCCGCCGATGCCTCTCGTCCATCGAGCTGTTTCGCGATTTACTCTCGGATTTACCGGGCAGATGTGATAACTCCCCTGACCGGGTCTTGTGCAGGCGGGCCTTGGTGGTGCTGCTGTTGAGAGCAGCGCCCTAGAGACACAGCACAGGGGGACGCGGAGGGTGAGTGGGCCAGGGCAAGGGGGTGAGGGGCGAACAGGGGTCGTGCAGGGCGGCAAGCACACACGTGTTGAGGTGGCAGAGCACGTGCTTCGAGCCCAGCACCACAGGCAGCACGTGCACAAAGCAACAAGGGCAGCGAGTGCACGAGCAAGTAGAGCACACGGGGGAGCGCATGAAGCACACAACGCACATTGCCACGCGCAACACAACATGCTGGGTGGACAAGCGGAGGGGGAGGGCAGGGTGCATGAGCGGGTAAGGGATGCGACACATACACGAGAGCCATGCTCGCTGCTGGGCCGGTGTTGCTGCTGCTGCTGCGCGGCTTGCTGCTGCGAGTGCAGCTGCTGCACCATCTGGTTGTGCATGGGGTGGAATCTCAAATCCGACGACCGCGACTCGCGCTTCTCCCGCTCCCTCTCCCTCTCCCGCTCCCGCTTCTCCCTCTCCTCCTTCTCCCGCTCGCGCTCCCTCTCGCGCTCCCGCACTTTGCGCAGAGCAGCGTCTCTCGACTCGGTGAGGTCGCGTGATGACCCCGTTGAGAAGTCCTTGGACGCGCCCATGCCCACCGCACTGCCCCCAACCACACCCGCCACGCCAGCAGTAGCCGCCACCCCCGCCGCCGACAGCTCGTGGCTTGTGGGGTTCACACCCCCCTTGCTCCTGCCCGCACTGCCCGTCCGCACCAGGCCCCCCTGCTTGCTCTCCCCTATCCCCACCTCCCCACTCACGTTCCTCCCCCCCACCCCCGCCCCTGCCCCTCCCCCCGCAGCGCCAGCAGCAGCGGCTGAGGAGGAGGAGGAGGGCGCGGGCACCCAGGACGTGGTGGCGGACAGGCTCTTGCCGCCCGGGGCCGCCGCGCGCAGCTTGTCGGAGGCATCGGCGGGTTTGAGCGCCTTGAGCCCGTCAGGCGTGTCAACTGCCTTGGCAGTGGTGAGCCCGTGCGGACCCAGCCCCTGCAGGCCCGCCGCCAGGGCCATCTCCGCCGGGCTGATGAACTTCTCACTCTTGCTCTTCGCTATCGCCGCCTTGCCCGCCGCCGCCTTCTGTGAGGGAGGAGGGGGGGTGAGGACAAGTGGGGGGGGAGAGAGGAAAGGGGGGCATGAGCATGGAGGATAGTGTTTCATGAGAGGTGAGTGTGGCAGGCGATGAGGGAGTGAGTGTGGGAGAGGTGGCAGAGCGGCGCACAGGGGGTGGTGTATGGAGCCCATGGCAGGCGGCATGGCAGGGCAGGGAAGCACGCACCTGCATGTTGATGGACTCCACCAGCTCCGCATTGGCGTGGGGCGCCGGCACCGCCCGGCTGGAGCGCTGCTGGCTCTGCTGCTGCAGCTGCGGCTGCTGCTGTGACGTGCTGTTCCGCTGCGCGCCCTGCCCCGCCGCCGCCTGCTTGCTGCTCGCGCTGCTGTCTAGCACCTTGCCTGCCCTCGCCCCTGCCGCCCTCTGCCTGCCACAGACCACGGACCAGCGAGCAGTAGCGGCACACAGGGGGGGAATGCAGACAAGGCAGGACGCACGGTGACAGAGGTTGAGTGGCGGTGCGCAACAGGGTTGTTGCACGGTGAGAGCAAGGGAGTAAGAGGGCGAGAGGCAGCACAGGGCACAGCAGAGGCTTGGCCCGCACAAGGGCGCAGCTTGAGTGAAGGGCAGGGGGGGGATGAGAGAGCGCAAGGAGGTGCATTGAGGGCCGAGCACGGGCGCCAAGTGGGTAGCAAGCACGAGGCAACGAGGGGAAGCGAGGAACGGGGAAGGGCAAGAGGGAAGAGCAAGGGCAGGGAGCGGCAGGTCGGGGCGGGTGGGGATGACCTGCGGGCCTCTTCGTCGCGCAGCTTGGCGTCGTACTCCTTGCTGGGCGGGTACTGCGGTAGACTCGATGGGTCGCATGGCAGCGGCTTCGTCGTGAAGAACTGCCACGCACAGAGGAAGGGGGAGACAGGGGCGGAGGGCAAGGAGGGGAAGGGGATTGGGCGTGAGTGCGTGAGAGGTTGATAAAAGTGGGGCGGTGAAGAAAAGAATGGAGGGATGGAGAGAAGGCATGCTCGTGGTGGGCGTGGGGGTGGGGTAAGGGGGGGTGGTGGAAGATGGCACAAGCAGCAGCGAGTGGTCAAGCGTGGAGGCGGCAAGGGCGCGAGTGCTCGGGCCCCGCTTCCCCCTCGACCAACTGTCTCTTACAAACTCGTGTCTCACCTCGTGCGCGCCTTGCCTCACCTCGTGTGTGCCTTGCCTCACACCTTACCTCGTGCGCGCCCATTTCCCCCTCGCCTCACCTCGTGCGCCCCGTGTCTCACCTCGTGCGCCTCTTCTCACCTCGTGCGCGTCTCACGTCGTGCGCGTCTCACCTCGTGCGCGTCTCACCTCGTGCGCGTCTCACCTCGTGCGCGAGCGCGGAGGTGGCGGAGCCGCGGTCGGCGGGTTCGATGGAGAGCAGCACGTCGAGCAGGTTGAGCGCGGTGGCGGGGAAGTCCTTGAAGAGGTCCCTTAGCGCGCGCTTGTAGGGCTGTGTGGGCTTGAAGATGGTGGCGTGCGGCAGCTTGGACCGCCGCCAGTACTCCTCGCTCGGCGACCCGCACAGCTTGAATATCTTGTGCAGCTGCTCCACCTGCACGCAAGCCATAAAGGGCAGGGGGGGCGGCGGACATGGGGGAGGGAGAAGGGGAGTGAAGGGGGGGGAGGAGGGGGTGTGAACGGTGGACGGGTGGGTGGGAGGGAGGTTGGACGGGGAAGGGGTGAGTGAGGAGCGAGTGGGGGGTGGGGGCAGACGAAACCGAAGGCACCTGGGCGCGATTCAACCTAGCGCGGCTCACCCGGGCGCACTCACGTGCGCGCGGATCACGTGCGCGCGGATGACGTGCGCGCGACTGACCTCGGTGCGGCCGGGCATGATGGGTTTGCCGGCGAGCAGTTCGGCGAGGATGCAGCCGCTGCTCCAGAGGTCGACGCCGACGCCGTACGTGGTGGCGCCCAGCAGCAGCTCGGGCGGGCGGTACCAGAGCGTGACGACGCGGCTGGTGAGCGGCACGTTGTGCTCGGGGCGGTAGAAGGTGGCGAGCCCGAAGTCGGCGATCTTGAGCGACCCCGTGTTGTCCAGCAGCAGGTTGCTGCCCTTGATGTCGCGGTGCAGCACGCCGTGCGTGTGGCAGTGCTCCAACCCCGCCATCAGCTGCTGCATGTAACACTTCACCTGCACGCACACAGCGAGAGGAGGGGACGGCCGGAGTGAGGTGCGAGGAGGGAAGCGGTCGCGCGCAAGCCACGCGGCAGCGACACGGAACAGCACGCGGCACGCCGCATCGACAAAGGCAGCGCGACAGCGCGGCAAGGGCAGCGGCGGACCTGCGCCTCGGTGAAGGAGATGCCGGGGCAGGCGGCGAGCCCCGCGAGGTCGTGCTCCATGTACTCGAAGACGAGGTAGAGGCTGCAGCTCATGCGCGACGTCACGAGCCCCTCGAGGCGGATCACGTTGGGGTGGTCGAGGCGGCGCAGCACCTCGATCTCGCGCGCCATGAAGCGCACGCTCTCCGGCTCCAGGTTGTCGAACCGCACCTTCTTCAGCGCCACCAGCCGCCCGCTCTCCAGGTCGCGCGCCTTGTACACGTTGCTGTACGTCCCCTGCCCGATCTGCGCCACTCCACGCGCGGGGAAAGGCGGGAGGGAAGAGGAAACAAGGTGGGAGAAAGGAAGGGGGAGGAGAGACCAGTCTGACTGTGGATGATGGGGAGTATGATGGAAGACGAGGTCGGTGGGTGAATCCTCGCGCACAAGCCGGCGCATCAAAGGTCACGACGCCACGCAACGGCGCATGCGAAAGCCGATCTGCTTAGAAGGAATGGGTGCACGGGAGGTGGTAGAATCACGCGGCACTGTGCGACGGCCCGGCCGTGCACGACATGCCCGGAGAGACAACCAATCCCGTTTCCTAGCGACTCGAGCTTCGCTCCCTTCCGTTGCACTCTCCGCTCTTGCCCTCGTTCTCGACGCAGCTCTCGCTTCCCTTCTTTTCCGTTCATATACGTCGTGAAACAGCCGCCCCCTCCTTTCATCTACCGTGCACTCTCCTCCCTGGGCAATCCCCTCCCCCCGCACGCTCCCTGGCGCACTCCTTTCCCCGCGCACTCTCCTCCCCGCGCACTCTCCTCCCCGCGCACTCTCCTCCCCGCGCAATCTCCAACCCCCGCACTCCCTCCCCACGCACTCGCAGCACGCAGCTCCCGACAGCCCACGACGTGCTCTGAGCGACCGTTAGCGGCCGCGGCTCACCTTGTCGAGTTTCTCGAAGGAGTCGGCGCGGCGCGGCACCCAGCCCTTGATGGCCTCGCTGGCGACGGACGCGAGCCACGACGGCCACCCCGCCGCCACCTGCTCCGACTCCAGGCTCTTGTGCAGCTGCCGCGGTACCGACGCCACCGCCGCCGCCACTACCGCATCTCCCGCCCGCTCTCGATCCCGCTCCCTCTCTCGCTCCTTCTCCTTTTCCTTCTCCTTTTCCCGCTCCTTCCGTCTCTCCCGCTCCGCTCCCTCCTCCCCCGCCCCCAGTTGCCCGCTCTGCCGCGAACTGCCCTTCGCCGCGGCCGGAGCTGCGCCTACCGCCGCTGGAGCAGCTGCTACTGTTGGCGGAGCCGCTGGTTTGGCGGGAGGCGGGGGATCCTTTATGGAAGGAGGTTCGGGTACCACGGGGACGGCGGCGGGAGGCGGAGTGGCGGCTGGCGGTCTTTGCTGCTGCTGCTGGGGAGGGGGAGGCTTCTCTACTGCGGGCTTGTGAGGCGGAGACTCGTCGAGCGCACTGGGATGGGAACACGCGCACCCCATGACGAGCCCGCAAGTAACCCAGCCCAGAGTTGGTGGACCTAGGAGCAGTGCGGGCGGCGCACCAGCCCTGGCTACCACCGCTAGCTACCGTTGGAATCGTTGACAAATGATGACCGAGCTACGGGTGTCCCCGAATCGAGGGAATGAGAGGACTGTTAACCAAAGAGTTCTGAACAAAACTGCCTAGCGCTGCAGGCTACACTTGAAGAAACTCTTAACGTACTTTAAGTATTAACAAGGAAAAGCAGCGCGAGGGCTTACAGGAAACGTGACTACCGCCCAGCATCCAGGGTACTGCGTATAAGAACATCTGTAACAGAACTGCCGCCACTTACGCGAAAGTAACTGGTTTAAAATGGTGCGTAATGCGTCCGTCACAGGGGTGACGACTCCTACGTACCAAGCAGATCGAGGATGAACTAAAAACACAAACCTGTTATGCCAGACTCATAAGTCATTCTGCTTCTAATTTATCATAATGCTATATCGTAGTGCGAATCGGGACGCACGTCAATGACGACCTAAATTACAGGTAGCGGAGAAGGCGAGGCAGTTGGTGATGGATATGAGAGCGAGGGTTAGCATTAGCAGGCAGGTCGGGTTAGTGAAGTGGCAGCAGGAATGATGATGATGGGGTGTTGTTGGGTTGCCGTGGAAATATTGCTGCTTGCTGGCGGGGCGAGGGAGCTGGCGGAAGGAAGACAAGAAGGCGGTCGAGTTAGCGGAGGTGAGCGGGGAAGTGTGCCAATGAAAGTTGGGGGAGGGAGGGGAGGAGGGATAGTTGGGACCAGGTATGGAAGAGGGCATGGCGGACGAGCGCATGGTCCCGTGAAGGCGGAAGCGTAGCGCGCAGCTGGCAGGTGGAGACGCGTTTGCCCTACTGGCATGCGAACAAACGAGGGGGGGGGGGGGACACGCGGAAACAAATTCCCTGAAACCAGTTGTAACACAGCTTGCGCCAAAGCCAGGAGCGCGCAGGCGGATTAGCTACTGTACGGGGAACGAGCGAGCCGCTGGTGTTGGAGAAAGCAGGGATGTGCGGCTGCGAAAGCGGGACGACAAGCAGAGCGAAGAACTTGACGACACCTCCCGAGCCTCTCAGGCTCGAGGCGAAGCACGACAACGAACCACGAACAACAAAGCTCGCCGTCCGGCGCGGGGAGAGAACCAAGAGAAGAAGGGAGCTTGCAGTAACGAAGAGCTGAATAACCCGTATAATGCTTATGTACACGAGCCCGCATCCTTTAGATCCCTTACATCCTGTATGCAAGGCAATTCCATTGTTCCTTATTGGGGTTCACTTCATGGAGAATACGCCATTTGTAATCATCAAGGGTTGCGATAATATCTTTGATAAAAAAATAACCGGTACCGCAAAGGGTGTTTTCTCGTGTTTGCTCAAATGTTTCACGGAATCAGACACAATCAACTGGGAAAAAATAACGCGAATAGTCACAGATAAAACTCCCGCTCAAAATGGGTAATACCCAAAAGGAACCAGGATGCATTTTCGGATACCACAACTCGCCATGTGTTTAGGGTTGATCCGTTCCCAAAACGCATCCGATTCCGATTAGGTTTTAGTTTTTTTTTTTAGTTAGCTTATTCAATGCGCGCGATCATGAATATTGTAGAGTGTTACGACATGGAATTGTTGGAAACCATTCCTATAATAACGAACTCGCGAAGACAATTGCGGCGAGGACGAAGACCGGGCGAAACAAACAATTATAGAAGACGGTTGCAAGCAGGAAGAATTTGAAGTGCAAAGCGCGAGAAATTCTCAAAACAGTTGGAGTACCGAATGCCGTTACCAAAGTGTCGTGGACATGCCGTTACCAAAGTGCACAGTTGGATTACCGATCTAAATTAGCCCTCTCTAGACCAAGGTCCGCTCCCTTCTGCGGCGGAGCGACGTTGACGCGAAGTACTTGCCCTACGTCATGCATCACGCCGTCCGTCTTCACAATCTGCTCAGCACCACCGCCAACAACGACAACCTTTCGCAGAATCTCAAGTTTACCGGCGACTAGGGTGACATCTCCATGCTCCGCGTCTGGGCTGCATGGTGCAGTACTGGCCCGCAACGACAAATACCGGCAAGTTGGTGCTCCACTCACGCTAGGAAGTGCACGTTGGCACCAGCTTCAAGCACCACGTCTGCAACATCCTCGACCATGACACCTCTCGAGTGGTCGCGGAGATCGACATCATCTTCTACGAAGACCTCACCATCCGCAAGTTCTAGTGCGATCGCCATGCTGGCCGCACCAGGGGAGAGAACAACATCGCCAACTTCAAGCACCCACCCTGCAGCGTCACCACTCCCGCCGAAGCAGCGCTCGCGGACCAAGACCCCACCGATCCACATTCTGGCCCCGACCCATGGGGCGACGATGATGACGATGAGGACAGTGCTCCACTCAATTCCTCGCGCTACTCCCTCCTTAGTCCTACCCCATCCAGCGACAACGATTCGAACAGTGATGTAGTGGAAGTTACCAGCAAGCAGCGGCACAGCCCTGGCCTCTCAGGATGACACATCCTCGGCCTTCACACCGCTGCCTCCCGCCCACCAAAGGCACTTTAACCCAAAACCCCGCGCCAGTGTCTCACCGGCCCTTACAGCAAAGATTTGTGCGCGACCATGGACGACGAAGTCGCTGCCCTCAAAGCCCGCGATGTCAGAATCCCAACCACTAACCACTGGGATAAAAGGGCTTTTTTTGTGTAGCGGGTGAGTGCACCCATAACCCCCCAGGCCGACATGCCTGTAACCCTTCCCTAGGATCATCGGGGATCTCCAGTAGACCTCTGACACCCCCCCGCACTGGGATGCCCGAGGTGCACACACTGGGATTCGAACCCGAGACCTTCACTCTGATACCATGTCAGAATCCCAACCACTAACCACTGGGATAAAAGGGCTTGTTTGTGTAGCGGGTGAGTGCGCCCATAACCCCCCAGGCCGACATGCCTGTAACCCTTCCCTAGGATCAATCGGGGATCTCCAGTGGACCCCTGACACGCGAAACATGGGTTCGCGCTGACCGCGCCACACTGAAGAGGAGACGTGTCCTTTCTGGCAAATGTGTCTTCCGCGTCAAGAACGGCGCTGACGAAACCATTGAACGCTTCAAAGCCTGTTGGGTGTGCGTGGCTTCAATCAATGCCACGACGTCGATCTCGATCAAATCTTCGCCCCTGTCAGCCGCCACACCTCCATCCGCATTCTCCTTGACATTGTCGCCGCAAAGCACCTCCCACTCCGTCATATCGACATCAAGAACGTGTTCCTCTACGCGCCAGACGATGCACTCATCTTTGTCGAACAACCGCACACCTACGACGACGGCGACGATCTTGTGTGTTAGCTCAAGAAATCGCTCAACGGCATCAAGCAAGGGCCCCGTCTCTGGCAGCAACATCTCCACCAAATTCTCCTATACATCGGCATCGGCTCAGCTCCCTCACGACCTGGGCATGTATCGCCTCCACTACTGCGGCGCCTACATTCTTCTCACGGCATGCGTGGACGACCTCCTCGACGGCACCAGCAACGACCTCCTCGCACAATTCGAGAAAAACCTCAGCAACCGCGTCAAAATCACGAGCACCGATCATGTCACTCAGTTCCTTGGACTTAACATCTCCTACGCTACTGACGCCATTCATCTCTTTGCTGCTAAGTACGCCAAAGCGCTCTCTGCTAAATTCAATATCAAGCTGGCGAACATCTCAACTCCTTACCACACCTAGGCCAACCCCAACAATTCCAACACCACCCCTCTCAACCCAACTAGACATCACCTATTCCAGCAACAAGTCGGCTGCCTTCTTTTTGCTGCTGTTACGCGCAGGCCTATATTTTGAGCCAGCTCGCCCAATACGCCAAGCGGCCTGAAGGGGAGCATATATTACACCTACAGCGTGCCTTGCAATGCATCGTCTCTACATCGCACATTGGACTCACCTACTCCACCCTCATAACCCGTTCGTTCAACCTCATTGGCTCCGCGGACGCAGATCACTCCACCCGACTGCAAATTGACGGTCCCGAACCGATTTTCTCTTCCGCTTCGAGCCCACCGGCCCAATTTCCTGGAATCCCCTGAAGTAAGAAATGGTGGCGCTCTACTCCACTGAAGCCGAGTTCATCGCCGCCACGTCAGCCGTTTGGGAAGACGTCAACCCCTAGGAGCTGCTCTAGGAGGCAAACATTGTGACACATGCGAGCTTCACACGTCCAAGCCGCACATGACTTCGTCACCACCATGAAGCAGCTATGGGAGAAGACTCACCGATGTATCGCCACGATGCAGAACTCCCAGAAGCAGAATGTCGATCGCCAATAACGTGATCACACGGTAGGAGTCGAAGTCAGCCTCAACACGCACAACTTGAACCTGTCTCACCTACCATCCAAGATGTAACCTCGCTTCTGTGGTCCCTTTCACGTTGAGGCACAGATGACACCAGTAACATTCCGTTTGCCCTTACCTTCTAAGTGGAAGTTTCACAATTATTTCTATGTTCAGCTACTGAAACCCTACAAGGACCCCAACCAACAGTTCAAGGGCCGCCAGCTACCGCCACCACCACCTGTTCTCATACAGGATGAACCAGAGTACGAGGTTGAACACATTCTCACTCATCGGCGCCGCGGCAGCAAGACCCTCGAGTTCCTTATACAATGGAAGGGTTACGACGTCATTGAGGATAGTTGGGTTGCAGAAGCTGGTATCGGCAACGCACGCCGTGCTCTCAAGGACTATCTTGTCAAGCAGGGTGTTTCTCTCACCCAGCTTTGAGGTGGGTACGTGTGAGAGTACGACAGCTTATGCTTGCTTTTATAGCTTGCCTTGCCTTTATTTTGCTATTACTAGCTTATTTTAATATATCTTGCATGTTTATGCTTGATTTCCTAGATTACGTGCATTCCTATATTTTATCATAGTAATAGCACCGAACCAAGTTATGTGTACCAAACAAAAGCCTTTCGGTTGCCACCAAATTCCTTTCTACTGAGTTCGGGAAGGTTTTGTTCGGGACGCTTCGCGACCCTCAGAACATTCTCGTACCACATGGGTTACCTGCCTTGTGTCGAGACTATATATAGCTTTGTGTTGCATCCAGGTGGAGGAATCAATTCATTCTTACTTTTTTGAACTCGACAATCGATCCTCACAAAACGAGTGTGCCGTTGCTGGGAGGGACAGGAGTGGGTGGGGAAGGGGAAGGGGAGACAGGAGAAAGGGGGGGAACGGAAGGGACATGTGTGGGAGGGTAGGAGAGTGAAAACAGGACGAA